GGAATGTTAGATAGGCAGTTAAATGATCCAGGAGGTTAGGAGAAGATCACTTTGGGGAGAAAACTGGGAGTCTTCAGTACATAGGTGATACCTGCACTCATGGAAATGGATGAGATCACTGACRGTGGAAATGTAGGTAGAAAATAGAATGTAGTCAGTTCTGGGATCTTTTTTCCTATTTAGATTTAAATCTTCTAAATTCCTGAGGACACACAGGCTAATAAAACATTTAGTATTAAAAACAATCTGGTTGGAGCTAGGCTTGGTGGCACAAGCCTCCTGCCYCAGATTTGGGAAGCTGGGGTAGGAGGACTCCAAGTTTGAGGCCAGCCTCAGCAAATTCAACAAGGATTCACCACGGCACTAATGATGGTCAGGGCACTGGGATCAAATTTTGAGGACTTTTTCTAAAAGCCCTAGGTGGGGTTCAAATGCATAGTAACACTCAGCTGATATTCCTTAAGGCCTTCTTTGTGTAACAATTAAGGACTCAACATTCACTGGGTGTACCTGTTGATCCCAGCATTGCAGGAGGCTGAGATAGGGGGAATGAAAGTTCAAGGTCAGCCTGAGTAATTCTGTGAGACTTGTCTCATAAATAAAACTTTAAAAAGGACTAAAGAGGGGCTGAGAATGTAGCTCAAGCAGTAGTGCGCTCGCCTGGTATGCGTGCGGCCAGGGTTCGATCCTCGGCACCACATACAAACAAAGATGTTGTATCCGCCAAAAACTAAAAAATAAATATTAAAAATTCTCTCTCTTTTAAAAAAAAAAAAAAAAAAGGACTGGAGATGTCACTCAGTGACAAAGCATCCCTTGGTTCAATGCCCCCATGGGGGTGGGGGACAGCATCTAAGGATAAAACGTTAACTTAGAGAGAAAGTCTAAATTCTTTATAGATGTCATTGAAGGCCTTTCCACATTGTTCACAAACTACATTTCCAGTGCTAACTCTCACTGTTGCCAGGAATGAACCCTCTGCTCCAGTTATATCAGTCTGCTTATTACCTCCTGTTTTATTTTTTTCACTTGGATAACATTCTCTTTAATCTGTGCTGTCACAAAATGGCTAAATACTTGAAAAGTGGCCATTCTAAACTGTGATTGCTGATAACACTCAGATTTTAGAAAACAAGCAAAGAGGGATTCCCAACTCTGGGGCCCCTTCTCTTTGAAGAAGTCTCTCTTTTGCAGTAAACCCACTTTTTGCTTGGAAAAAAAAAAAAAGAAAAAAGAAAAGAAAGAAAAGTAACATTAGTAACCTTTAAATACTGATTACATATTGAAATGTTAATTTTTGAGAGAGAGAGAATTTTTTAATATTTATTTTTTAGTTTTCTGCAGACACAACATCTTTGTTTGTATGTGGTGCTGAGGATCAAACCCAGGCTGCATGCAYGCCAGGCGAGCGCACTACGGCTTRAGCCACATCCCCAGCCCCGAATGTTAATATTTTTGATAAATCAAATAAATTATTAAATCTAAATCCACTTGTTTCTTTTTAAATTGGCTATTGTAAAAATTAAAATATATGTGGCTTGCATTATTTATTGGGTATTACTCTATTAATTAACCAAGGTAGAAGTGGGCTCACAATTCAACCCATTTTTGTACTTCTTTCATGCTGAAATAATAAAAGTGATGAATGAGGGCTGAGGTTGTGGCTCATCTGCAGAGCATTCGCCTTGCATGTGTGAGGTTTGATCCTCAGCACCACATAAAAGTAATAAGTGAAATAAAGGTATTGTGTYCAAATACAACTAAAGTGATGAATGACAGAAAAGTCTAAGTGTGGGTTCATAGATTTGAGGCAGGTGTACCCTTAGACAAACTGAAAGTGCTATCACTGACCAACTGGCAGCTCAAGAAAGCAAAGATTTTTTGTGCCAGAGATGGAAAGAGTACTAATAACTTGTGCTTCTGCTCAACAAGTGTTAGACAACAACTTCTAGGCATCTACACTAATAAAAAAATCTATCCTTTGAATCCATCTTTCTCTCTTCTTCTACATCTAGTCACTAAAACAACTCTTCTTGTAAATTTCTTTTAAGAATTATTTTTTCAGTCCATATCTAATCAGTCTTAGTTATTACCTTGCTTTTGAAGATGCATTTTTCAAGTAGTCTCCCAGCTTCTTTCTTCCATGTTCATTTCATTCTATATACTGCAACTAGAATGACATCTGATATTTCTTTGCAGATTAATTCTTTGCTTAAAATACCTCCATTGATTTCCACATTGCCAACAGGAAGAATTATTTAGAATTCAAGGCTTTGCAAACTTTCTTCGTACTTCTATCTATAAAATCTTCGCTTTAGGGAAGCTCATATATTGAGTTAATATATGTAAAGCACTTAGAATCCTGCCTGGCCTGTGCTAAGAACTGTTAAGTCTTACATATTATTTGAATATGCTGTCTGAGTATGCATTTCTGACTCCAGAACACTAATTCCCTTTTCCTGTTTAAATACCAAATCTCCAAAGGAAGGAATAACTAAATCTATTAAAGATCAACAAGGGTAATTGTTACTATTAGGAAAACTTAAAAAACTTTAAATGTCCTCTCCATAATTAACAAAACCCATAAAAATGAATCCTAATTTATCACAAAATCAAAATTCAGACTGGATAAGATGGAAATAAAGGTAATAAGTATTTCTTTCATTCAAGAAACAGGAAATTTATGGAATGTTTTAGAGCAAAAGTAATTCTGAAAACAACATAAATGGATTCTAGATTAAGGGCACTCTCCAATTTTGGCATATTATTAGAATAACTTAGGAACTTCAAAATACAGCTGTCTCTGCTGGGGTTAGAGTGTTTTGTCTAATAGGCACTAGATTTGATCCCTACTCATGCAGAAAGAAGAAGAAAAATAGTTGTCTGGACCCCATCCCAACCAGGTTTACTCAGATATTTGACTTTCTTTCATTCTTTTTTTTTTTTTTTTAAGCTTTATAGGTGATTCATGTGTACACTTTTAAAAGTATCAAAGGTGATTCTCATATACATCCACATATGACAATGACTGGTCTAATCAAAGGGAAAGTTTGCTTTAAGAAGGTGGAACATGTTTGGTATACATTTTTCTCAATGTTCTTCTAAAATTTTTTTGAAAATAGAATATCCAGAGAACTGAGTAACCCAGAATAACTTTTGTGTTTGAGTAGTGAGCTTAAAACAAGACAAAATAAAAAATTCCAACCTTTTGATATAGGATTCAGAAAAATATATACATCTCAAATAGCAGAGTACTCATGTAAACACTTGTCTGTTTATCAGACTTATATCAACTTATAAATTTCAAAATAATTACGTAGGTAAATATATATTTAACTGTACACAATATTTACAACTTACAGATTTTCAACTCAAAAGTAAACACTTAAGCCTTAAAATGTATGAAAGAGTTGGCACTTTGTTATATAACACTTCAAAAATTTCAAAAGCAACTTTACCTCAAAAATACATTACACCAACCTTCCAAARTGCTACTGTTCCTGGCTCATTTTATCTCAAAAATGGACACGAGTATCCAAATCTCTAGGAAAGGAGTAACAGATGTATTGTTATACTGAAAGCATTTTTACTGCTGAAAAAAACTTTACAATAGCTACAACAATAGTGGAGCAAGCCTATAGAATCCCAGCTACTCCGCAGGTTGAGGCAGGAGGATCTCCAAGTTCGAGGCCAGTCTGGGCAAGTCAGGGAGACCCTGTCTCAAATTAAAAAAAAAAGGGGGGGGGCAGGGAGCTGGGGCTGGGACTTAACTGTAGAGCTTCACCGGATCCAATTCCCAGTAAGGTAAGAAACAAAACCACAAGAAACCTTATAACAAAGCCCCTTTCACCCTCCAATCCTGAGATAACAAATCCTGTAGTTCTCCCTCATCGTCGCTGTCAGCATTCTCCTCTTCCTTTTTTTGCAGTTCTTTTATAGTCAAAACCTCTTTAAGTTTATTTTTAATCTCATCCTGGCGATTCCGCAGCTTTTCCACCCGACGGTAACATTCTATCTGCTCATCAATCTCCCCAATCTGGCGGTCCAACCGTCCCTCCTCATCCTCTTCAGCGACTATAGCTTCGGAAATAGTGTTGACCTGCCTCATGGCTTTTTGAAATTCGTCCCACTCTTTGTCCATTTGGTCCTTTGGAGCATCAACCTTTCGTACCTTTGCATCTACTTCAGGGTCGTCAAAAAATCCTTCTGGTAATGCTTCCGCGGTATTCTCTCTCCTTTCYACCACTTTTTCATGTATTTCTGCTTTCTCAATTGACCCTGAATGAGGAATTAAGGGGGCCTTGGGAGGATTGGTATTAAAGGAATCGTTTGGTAGCACACTACTTGTTGCTTCCCGCGAGGAAGAAAGTGAGTGTTCTTTGCCGTGTGTGCTAGGCGGCAGCTTGCTATCCCCTCTTTTTCCTTCTCCGCCTCCCTCCTCTTCCTCCTCCTCCTCCTCCTCATCTTCATAATCAGGGAGTAAACCGAGTCCCGAAGGTTTACTGGGTGTCGATCTAGCGGACTCTTTTCCTGTTTTGTCAAAGTTGGTGGACAAAGCGGACGTGGAGGGCTGTACCTGAGGAACCGAGGCCTTCGCTCTCTTGGCGTCTTGATTATCGGCATCCGACGCTTTCCTCTTGACSGAAAGAGACGCAGCGTTTGCAGATGGACCCTGGGCGGCTCCCTTCGCACCTTTCAGCTCGGCCACTTTCTCTCGGTGCTGCTTTCCCAAGACGTGAGTCTGCCACAGGAGCTCGCTCTTTACCGGGGTGTTACAAAGGGCACAGCTCAACTGCCCCAAGCGGTTGTACTTCGCGAACGGAGATTCTATCCTTTTCCGGTTAGTGCTCAGACGCTGCTTCTCCTTCATCAATCGTCTGAGTTCTTCTTGATTTACTACTCGCTTCCCGGCCGGAGGCCGAGCGGAGGCGGAGGACGCCATTTTTGCGACTAGATCCCTGGCGATTCTGGCTTCCGTCCCGGCGAGGCTTGATTGCGTCACTTCCTGATGTAGCGACGATTGGTCACAGCGCAGGAGAGGGCGTGGCGCCAGAATTTTACCTCAGAACCAGCTAGAAGGCTGTTTTTCCCCGCTCAACCGTTAGGCTATGGCAGCGATCAAAGCTATAAACTCCAAGGCTGAGGTGGCGCGGGCCCAGGCGGCCTTGGCTGTCAACATATGCGCCGCCCGAGGGTTGCAGGATGTGCTGCGGACCAACTTGGGTCCTAAGGGTACCATGAAAATGTGAGACGGCGGTTAGGACACCAGGCGGTTTTGGGGTGATGGGACGTCCTCTGATGCATAAGWTCCGCGAAGACACTGGAGCGATCAACTTGTAGGCCTGGCTCCCTTTTTGTCATTTCTGCCCTGAGAATATCTCTAGCCTGGTGGTCAGGAGGAGAAAAGCCTCCCCCGAGGAAAGAGCCCCCCCCCCCCCCCCCCCGTGAAGCCGTGACACCCGCTCTCCCATTTTCGTTAAGGTTTCTGTGGGATTAGAGAGCCAGTTCATTTGTCTCATTGTAAATGGAAGGCATTTAACACCTCTTTCTTCCTTCCTCGCGTGCTGGGGATCGAACCCAGAGCTTGGTGTACCTAGGCAAATCCTGTCACCGAGTTACATCTTCAGCCCCAACTCCTCTGCTTTTTAAAACTGTATGCCCTTAATCTGTAAATTCGACTCCACCCCCCACTGCCAGCCCTGCTTCGTGGTGGTGCAGGGGTCTTGTGCATGCTTGGCACAGGCTCTATCACGGAGCTAAATTTTTAGCCCCAGTATAGATAGTCTTTTTGCATGGCAAGCAATGTGTTGTCATGGAAAGGGTACAGGATTTGGAGYCAGGCAGGCATAGGTTCAAATCCAAATTAATCTTCTAGCTCTGAGTACTTAGGCAAGTTCCTTGAATGCTCTGTGCCTATAATTGTTCATTATTTTAGTATTTATTTAGCACCATTTTTTTTTCTTTACACAAGTGGAGAAGAGACTGGTGAGAGCAAAAGGGTATAAGAGAAACATCCTGACAGCAAGGAGAAAACTAATATTAATAGTAGAAGAAGGCACTTATGCACTAGATGCTGGGAAAACAGATGACAAAGATAGTTTTAGTTCTTAAGGAAATCTGGTAGAGACAGATGTGCTAATTATATATAGATGCATATGATTATACTGAGGAAAGGGACTAATTACTGATGGCAGAAGGAAAAGCCTCTCAAATAACAGATGWTGGGGCTGGGGTTGTGGCTCAAGTGGTAGCACGTCTGCCTAGCATGCSTGAGGCACTGGGTTGGATCCTCAGCATCACATAAAAATAAAATAAAGGTATTGTGTCCACCTAAAACTAAAATAAATAAATATTTTAAAAAGATAACAGATGAYGTTTGATCATAGTCTTGAAAGAAGAATGAGTTCACCAGTTGGAGAAGGGAGTACAAGTCCTCCTAAGTAGAATAATTTCAGGAATAAGAAAGCCCAACAATGTAAACATAACAAACAAAACAAAAACAATTTAAGGGGAAGTAAAAGACTWGGTTTGTAGGTAGGTGGTAGATGAGGAAGAAAGATAGACAAGCCAGATTGGGAAAGGTCAAGTTTGTCATTGCTAAATTAGTTTGGATTTTACCTTGAAGGTGATGGAGAGCATACAAATTACTGAGGRATTTTTGAGTCACATTGCCTTTTAGAAAAATAAATGTATAGCATGGAAGGTAAATTCAAATTTGGAGGTAATCAGGATTCTGTTTAAGCAGTCCAGGGTAGAATGATAATGACAGTGGAAATGGGGAGGGGGGTTATGACTCAGAGATATTTAGATCGTAGAATTGACAGAGCTTGGTGATCTAGCTTGGTGATGAATGAAGGGAACTAAGTTGAAGGAGTGAATGATTGATGACATTTACCAAAAATAAAAACCTGCAGGAAAGTTTGCAAACAAGTGCTTTGTTTCTCATACTCTTTGACCCAAGTTTCTAAATACTCAAGTACTCTCYGAATATTCCATTTGTTCTGAATTCACCATAAGTTCATCTTGGGAGAAAGGATCCTGTGAGCAGCAAGTGGTGATAGTTACTGTGGTATTCCCCCATGGCATAATGGAGTTTTCAAAGCCCTGTTTCCTTTATTAAGGAAAGTGGAACGACAAGTGCTAGGAATGTTGTGTTTGACTCTTGACATGTGAAGTTAATATTATTACTGTTCTTTGAACAGGCTTGTTTCTGGTGCCGGTGACATCAAACTCACCAAAGATGGCAATGTACTGCTTCATGAGATGGTGAGCTGATGCTGTTGACTTTAATAAACCTTAATAAGCCTCAAGTAAGAACATGGTACAGTTTGTATACATTTAAGCCAAGGCTGTAGCTAAATACTGCAGTCTTGAGGTATGCCTGTTGGATTAAACCTCAATAATTTTTTTTTTGCTGTTTCAAGCAATAACTTAGGGATATTTACAAATTAATAACAAACTTAAGGCACTGTGTTATATTCTTTGTAATCATGGAAGAATAAAAATTCCTTTGCAATTTTCATAAATATTCATCTTTGAGATTGAAGGATTTAATCTTCTTTTGTAAATATCATTGCATTCTGAAAAAAGGAGTGTTGTAAAATGTTCAAACCTCATTAGTTCTCAATTTTTAAATTTTGGACTTGACATTTACTAAGTATTTGATAATATAAAACTTGTAAACTTGTAGGATCAAGCTTATTTCATTTCTTAATTATACTGTTGAGCCTTAGGTTATCTTTTTGTGGCCTTCTCTATCTCATTCCCCTTTCTTTTTAAATCTGTTGCTTACTTTTTCCAGCAAATTCAACACCCAACAGCTTCSTTGATAGCAAAAGTTGCAACAGCACAGGATGACATCACAGGAGATGGTACTACTTCAAATGTTCTAATTATTGGAGAGTTATTAAAACAAGCTGATSTTTACATTTCTGAGGTATTACTATTTCACAGAATTCACTATTTTGAATGAAGTTTTTWAAAAATAAAATGGTTTAATTTTAGAGAGGGTACTGGTTAATTTTAATCAAGATATTCTTGGATAATTATAAATGGAAATAGCAATGAACTTCACCCCCCAATAAATAAATGCCTTTTATTGGAATAATATGCCTCTTTTAAAAATGAAATGGTTAAGATCTATAGAAAGATAAAAAATTACCCATGTACCCAGGAGTAATAGCTTAAGAAAGAAAATGCCACTAATAAAAGTTGAAACCAAATTACACACCTTTAAAAAAATAACTGGAGGGAAAACCTTATTGAAAGTTTCCCATCTTATGAATTTACGTACCTTTTTAGATTTATTTTCCTTTATAAACCATCTATTCAGATTCCTCCATTAASTAGTCTCAGAAACATCATGCACATTTCTAGCTCTGTSTYTTTGTTTGATCTCTATTCTTTTCTTAGTATTACCTACCTGTTTCCTATAATTATTTGAATTTTTTCTCTTATTCAGAGACCTTTCAGCAAAGCATTACCCAGTTAAAGTGCTGAAATTATTGCTTCTTTGTGTTTTATTCAGTATTGAGAATTGTCTATTAATTCAGTACCTGCAACTTATCTCAGTTAGGATGCTTTGGCCGGTAAGCAGTAGAAATTAACTAAAACTCACTTAAACAATGAAGAAATTATTAAGCTCCCATAATAGAACATTAAGAGATAAGGACGGATCCAAGTTGAGTTGATTAAAAAGTTTATTCAGTCATCAAGAACCTGGGACCTTTTTGTCTCTTAGCTCTTCCATTCATGGTACTGTTTCATCCTAAGGCTTGTTTTTATCTTGAGTGTAAGACTGTCAGAGGAAATCAGGGTTACTTGCTTCTTGGTAATACTCAATAGGGGACACAACTTCTTTTTTTGTGGTTGGGCCAACTTTAGTCTTATGCTCATTCTAAACCAATAACCATTTTAAGGGGAATTGACTTAAATTAATCAGGATCCACTCCTTGACCTGGGAAGAGGGACACCCAAACAATATAAGGTTTGGTTTATTTGAGAGATTGGTAGATAATGACATAATAATGAAACTGGCAGTTGGTGATAAAGCTAGGCACAGGATATGGCAGAAACACTGATTAGGAAAGGATTTCCTAAACTAAACTGTTGTAGTCAGAAAGCAACTCACTGGAGGAAGTAAGTCCTGAGCTAAATTTTCAGGATGGAATGAGCCAGATGAAAGAGTAAGGAGCAAGGAGAATGGCATTCCAGACAGAAGGAACAACATAGYGTTTTATAGAGCAGCCAGCAGTTTGGTATTGCTGGAGTTTATAATGATTTGGATGGTAGCAGAGAAGAGGCTGGAGGAGGTGGGAGCCAGATCACAGAGGGTGGTATGTTAACCAGGAAACTTGCACTTTATTCTGATTTGAATAGACTAAACATGTCAACATAGTAACATCTGATGTGGTCATATTGGCATTTTWAATGTTTGGGGACAATTTTAAGGGAGTCATGACAAGAGAGGTTCTAGTAGTCCAGATGAGCAATTGTGATGTCCTGRACTGAGGAAATTTTTGAAAATGGTAATAGCGAGGCTCTAGAGTCAAGTCTCTTGGGTTTAAATCCTGGCTCCACTTTTATAAAAAAATGTTTATTGGTACACTGTAGTTTTACATGTTCGTGGGATTTGCTATTACATATTCATTCACACACGCATACATGTAATTTGGTCAATTTCATTCCCTGGTACATTGCTCCACTTAACTARTTTGCTAATCTTAGGCAWATTACATTATTCCCTTAAAATTTGGTCACTCACCTGTGTGTAGTGGGAGTAATAAATATCCACTTCATACTGTTGTTGAGAGAGTTAAACTAATTAATTCATGTAAAGCTCTTAGGATAGTGCCCAGCACAAATGTTCAATTAAATGTCAACTTTTAAATATTATAGGAGTGACATAAAGGAATCGTGGGAATAAATTAGAAATTGTACCAGCCTTCACAAAATTTATTAACTATTTTTTTAAAAAATATTTTTGTTATAGATGGACGCAATACCTTTATTTATTTATTTTATATGTGGTGCTGAGGATCAAATCTGGTGCCTTACACATATTATAGACAGGTGTTCTACTACTGAGCTGCAACCCCAGCCCCTATTTATTATTTTTCAGAGTAAATAATACGGTTTAAAATTGTTTTGTCAGAATTTCAGATCTACAGAAAAGTTGCAAGAATGTTAACAAAGAATTCTTATATATGTTTTACCCATATTCTCTAATTGTTATAATTTCTCCATTCTTGGCCTTGCTCTGAGATATTATATATATATATATATATATATATAATATCACACACACATATATATATATATAATTTTGTATATATAATTATATATAACATTATAATAGAGGAAATCATATATATCACTGTACATATCATACATATCATATTGTACTATATATCAGAGGAAATAATATATATCATTGTATGTATCTTTTTCTAAATGATTTGAGAATAAGCTGCAGATATGATCTATTTCAGAATTAGTCTGTGTACATTTTTATAATCAAGGATTCTCTTATATAACCACAGTGTAATTACATAAAACAGGAAATTAATATTAACATTGACTCATTCAAGTAGTACCATTATCTAATCTGCAGATTTTATTCAAATTTCACCACTGCTTCCAATAGTGACCTTTATAGAAAAAGAAAATCTAGGATCATGCATTGCATTCGGTTGTCATGTTCCTTTAGTCTCTTGTAAGCTGAAATAATTCWTGAGCTTCCTTTTATGCTTCATGACATTGCTACTTTTAAGGAATATAGGCCAGTTATTTTATACAAAGTCCCTTAATTGGATTTGTCTCTTTCCTCACAAYTATACTCAGGTTATTAATTTTTGGCAGGAAAATCACAGAAGTACTGTTGTGCTCTTCTGAATGCATCCTATCAGARGGCGCATGATGTCTGTCTATCTCATTACTGTGATGTTAACTTTGATCACTGGGTGAAGGTGTTGTTAGCACTTTTTTCTAAATGCTTAGCATTAAAAGGAGCCTTTTTTGTTGTTGCTATTGTTGGAGCTCATTTAGAAGGGCACCACATGACAATGTAGTCATAATTTTTGGAAATAGAAAGAGCGACTTTATCTTTTATAAATTGCTCATTTACATTTAGTGGCATTAATGTGGCTGACATTACTTTTTTTTGAATATATTAATAAGAGAGGATAGTTACTTTTGACTTTCAATGATTTACTTCATAATTTTAAATTTCATGTTGATGTAATAGGGCCTGCACCCTAGAATAATAGCAGAAGGATTTGAAGCTGCAAAGATAAAAGCACTTGATGTTTTGGAGGAAGTTAAAGTAAAAAAGGAAATGAAAAGAGAAATCCTCTTAGATGTGGCTAGAACATCTCTACGGACGAAAGTTCATGCAGAACTGGCTAATGTGTTAACAGAGGTATGTGATTAAACTTTTTGTATTAAGAATGAGTCTAGCCTAACACATGATGATATTTTCTTTTTCCTAGAAGACAGCCAAGATTTGCATGTGATTCTTTTGAATGTACAACAAAATAAGGAGATAAACACTTCCAGGCTTATGTATAGACATTAATTGGTCAGAATAGTATTTGTAGTTTTCCAAAAGTGAAAGTTGGGAGGGAGTTGGCCTCCTGTAGATTATCTCCTATGGGTAGTATACTAGTCTAAACCTAGAGGTCCATATTTTGTTATATGGAGTGATACATGAGGAAGTTGTTTTTGCAGTGTGCCTTGTAGTTAAGGTTACTACTTTTACGAAGCATGATTGAGCTGATATATAATATTTACATTTGGGAAATGTGTGTTTGTTTTCTTCTAAAGGAGGAGCATATGTAATATACAGACAAGATTGGTTGGATATTTTAAGAAGGCTTTTATCAGGTGGTTATCATTTGATGACATCATTATTGTTCCCCAGCTTTGCAGTTTCTAAAACTTGACCGTATTAAATGTATCAGAAATGATGAATTCATAGTAACCAAACTCATATTTGTATCTCCAAAAGAAAATGGTGCTTCTGCACAGCAAAGGAAATACAAAGCAGAATGCTATCTTACTAATTTGAGAAATACAAATGCCAAATGGACTGAAACACCTGAGTTGCCTCTGCTTAATTCTCCTTCCCAATAGGAAAAGTGTGGGAAATTGGATTAAAATCAGACAATTTCTTGCTGAGCAGAGTCAGAAGAAGCAGCTACATTTTCTGYTGTTGGAATACTCAAGTGGTTCAAGATCTATGCTATTTAGGGCAGTCATTTTCCTTCTTTCTTTTTTCCTCTTTCCACATTTTTTATTGGTGCATTATAGTTGTATAAATGATGGAATTTATTGTTACATATTTGTACATGCACACAATATAATTATATAATTGGCCAATATCACTCCCCAGCACTTCTTCCTTCCTCCTTTCCTCCCACCTTCCTCTCATCCCTTCTTCCCTTTCCTCTATTGATCTCCCTTTGATTTTCATGAGATCCCCGCCCCCATCTTTTTCTTTTTCCTCTCTAGCTTCCACATATGAGAGAAAACATGATCCTTGACTTCAGTTTAACCTATGTTGCTTTATGAAACAGTGTCTAGTTTCATTCATTTTCCTGCAAATGATATAATTTCATTTTTCTTTATGGCTGAATAAAACTCCATTAGTATATTTCCACATTTTCTTTATTCATACATCTGTTGATGGACACTGTAGCTGTTGTGAATTGTGCTGCTCTACACATGGGTATGCATGTCTCACTATAGTATGCTGACTTTAATTCTTTAGGGTAAATACYAAGGAGTTGTATAGTTGGGTCATGTGGTACTTCCATGCCTAGTTTTTTTGAGGAAACTCCATACTGATTTTCATAGTGATTGTAATAATTTRCAATCCCATTAACAGTGGAAAAGTATTCATTTTTCTCCACATCCTCTCCTTCATTTATTATTATTTGTATTCTTGATGACTGCCATTCTGACTGGCAAAAGATGAAATCTCAGTGGAGTTTTGATTTCCATTTCCCTAATTGCTAATGATGTTGAACATTTTTTCATATATTTGTTGATCATTTGTATTTCTTATTTTGAGAAGTGTTTGTTTAATTCATTTACCCATTTATTAATTGGGTTATTTCGGGGGGAGATTGTTAAGTTTTTGAGTTTTTAAATATATTCTAGGGCTGGGGATGTGGCTCAAGGGGGGCGCACTCGCCTGGCATGCGCAGGGTGCTGAGTTTGATCCTCAACACCACATAAAAATAAAATAAAGATATTGTGTCCACCTCAAACTAAAAAATAAATGTTTTAAAAATATATTCTAGATATTAATTCTCTGTCAGAGGAGTAGCTAGCAAAGATTTTCAGTCATTCTAGAAGTTCTCTCTTCTCATTCTTAATAGTTTCCTTTGCTGTGCAGAAGCACCATTTTCTTTTGGAGATATAAAACCACTTATGTTYTTACTACTCAGTGACCTTTGTCTTATTCTCTAGTAAGTGCCACAATTAAGTATTATGTTACTGCAGGTAAAATTTTCTAAGATATAGTGGGTTTTTTGTTTTATTTTAGGGTGGTTATACCTTAGCTCTTAATTTTCATAATTAGTTTTTTTTCATATTATTTTCTGAGCTAACCATAATATATGTTGTGTTTTGGAGCTGGGGTTGTGGCTGAGTGGTAGAGTGCTTGCCTAGCATGTGTGAGGCCCTGGGTTCGATCCTCAGCAGCACCTAAAAATAAATAAAATAAAGGTATTGGGTCCAGCTACAGCTAAAAAAATAAATATTTTTTTAAAAAGATATGTTGTGTTCTGCTTTTAAAATTGCACAGCCCTGGGGAAATATAGCAAAATAAATGAGACAAGTTTTCCTGGCATGTCAATTTTACTTTACTATTTGGGTGGAAGCATTATTTTCACATTGAAATAAATGTGTGGCATGACCTGGAAACTTTTCATGGAAAAACATGAGACTGAAAAATGACATGTTATTATAGGCAGCAAATTTGAGCTCTTAGATTGCATTTCCTCCTTTTCTATTAAGGTACCCTTTGGTGGAAGAGGTTATATAGTGTTAGTGAGGCAGAAATAGCAGAAATTGACATTAACAGAGACCTGAATTCTAGTCCTGGCTCTGCTACTATTATTTTAAAACTGTAATTTCTTAGGTTTTCTCAGTTTTCTTATCTATGTAATAAAGGATTTGGACCTGATGATCTGTGTAGTTCCTTTAGACTCTAAAGTATCCATGGATATTATTTTTTGTCAGTRTCTACAATAAAGTGCTATTTGTTGGCTTTGCCTTATATTTTGAAACCTGAGAAGCCCTTTCTGTGTTTGGTGATTGATTATGGGGGCCAGGTTTTTTTTTTTTTTAATAGTCCAAATAACCAACTATCCTCATTCACTTCTCTTTCAGGCTGTGGTGGATTCCRTATTGGCTGTTAGAAGACCAGGTTATCCTATTGATCTCTTCATGGTGGAAATAGTGGAGATGAAGCATAAAGCAGGAACAGATACACAGTAAATTTTGACAATACATAGGTTTAGAATATTTGATTTTCTTCAAATATTCTTTCATTAATTTCACTAGTTGTTTTACCTCAACAKTAGTCTATTCATTCAACATGCATTAACTGGTTTATGCCTTTCACTACCATGAGCCAGTTACTTTTTACTTTGATAATTATTTTGAAGAAGTCTGGTTATTCGTCTTGCACATTTTTTGTGGAAAGAGTCTTGATTATTCATGCAGTTTTCTTGGGACAAGTTAGGGGTTTTTCTACTTCTTTTTTAACCACTTTATTAAGTAATATTTTTCCAGTAATTCATCCATTTTGTCTAAATCTTTAAATATTTGACATAAATGTTCATAAAAATCCTATTTGCAAGATCTATAATGATATCCTTATTTTTCCTGGTGTTGTTTTAGTTTTCCTTTTTGATAATTTTTTCCAGAGATTGGTTTGGGTTTTGCTTCATAGTATCTTTCTCCTTATTATTTAATTTCTTTTACTTTTTTGGAGAGATTTTCTTCTTCTATACTGTGTATTTTTTCCTCCCTGCCCCTTCTTTCTTTCTTTCTTTTTTTTTTTTTGAGACAGTGTCTCACTATGTTTTCCAGTCTGGTCCAGAACTCCTGGGCTCAGTAATTTCTTCTGCCTCATCCTTCTGAGTAGCTGGGACTTCAGGTGCTTGCCACTGTACCCASTTCTTGCTTTTCTTTTATTGAGATAGCTACTTAGGTTATTAATTTTCAGCTTTCTATTCTTATAATGTAGTATTTAAGGTGTTAAATTGTCCTGAAAATATTACTTAGCTGCATTCCTTAAATTTTGAAGTGTGGTTTTATAATTTTTATTCTGTTTAAAATATTTTCTAATGTCCATGAGGTGTGTGTGTGTGTGTGTGTGTGTGTGTGTGTGTGTATGTGTTTCAGTATTGGGGACTGAACACAGGGCTTTGCATGTACTCTACCATTGAGCTACATCTCCAGCCTTCTTTTTAATTTGATTTGGAGACAGGGTCTCATAAAGTTGCTTAGACTGACCTCAAATTCTCTATCCTCCTGCCTCAGCCTCTTGAGTAGCTGGGATTACAGGCTTGAACCATTGCATCTGGCACTATGATTCTTAATTTCAAAATATTAGGGACATTTTTTAAAATTGATTTCTAGATTAACTATATTATGGTGGGAAACTATGTTCTATGAGATTTCACTGCTTTTGAGGGGGCAGGGGTACTAAGGATTGAACTCAGGGGCACTCAACCACTGAGCCACATCCCCAGCCCTATTTTGTATTTTATTTAGAGACAGGGTCTCACTGAGTTGCTTAGTACCTCACTGTTGCTGAGGCTGGCTTTGAACTGTCGATACTCCTGTTTCAGCCTCCCGAGCTGCTGGGATTACAAACATTTGCCACTGYCCAATTTCATTGCTTTGAAATTTGTTTGACTATGCATTATGGCTAAGTTTATAAATAGTCAATTTTTGTTAATATTACATGTACTTAAAAAAATGTATGCTGCAGTTGTTAGGTACAAGTTTATGTATGTCCAGTTAGATCAAGGGAATCAAGTTTGTTAATACTTCCATTTAGACCTTCTTATCCTTATTGGTATTTATCTGCTTATTCTGTCAATTACTGAAAGACATATGTTAGTATCTTTCAATGTTACTGTAGATTTGTTTGTATTTTTAGTTTTTTAAAATTTTTTGGTTGTTGTAGAGGGAGATGATATCTTATGTTTTTATTTTTATGTGGTGCTRAGGATTAAAACCAATGCCTCACACATGCTAGGCAAGCTCTCTACCACTGAGCTACAACCCCAACCCTGTATTTTTAGTTTTGACTGTTTTGCTTTATATATTTTGAGACTTGTCTTGGCTTGGGAATGTTACTCAGTAGTATAATACTTGCCTAGTATGTGTGAGGCCCTGGGTTTGATCCCTGGCCAAAAGTACCAAACCAAACCAAAACAAAAGACTGTCTTATTAGCTGCATACAGTTTTTAAAGCATTATATTTTTGCAGTGCATTGAACATTTTTAACAATATGAAGTGACCATCTTCTCTCTAGTAATGGCTTAAAAGTATAATTTATCTGATATTGATATAGCTGTCACACCAGCTTTTTTTAAATTAGTATTTGCCTGTCATTTTTAATGTTTTGCTTTCAATCTTTCTCTGTTATATTCTACATGATTTTTTACTTCTTATAATGATGTGATATAATACAGTGTCTACATGATGAGATGAAGAGAAATGAATGATTTAGGCATTGTGATGTAGTGTTAAGCTACATATAAGCTACCATACCTTCTGATGATACTTAAGAAGGAGGATCATCTTCTTCTGGTAGATCATAGAGCCATGACAATGTCAATGGTCAGTGATCCTTGACAACTAAAAGAACTCTTGCTGAAATTTTTTGGAAGAACATTATAATCAAAAGTTGTTGTTTCTTTCTTTTTTGTCTCATCAAGGTGGTGCTTCGGAAGCTAATAATTCAGTGACCATATAAGTAGCTTTAATGTTGCATTCCAGCTGAGGACTGTCTTCCATAATTTTGTCCTTTAATGYCTGTGCCATTTAACATACTGGCAAATTTGGGTAATGTCCACATTGGTGATTCTGCTTCCCTTTCTCCTCCTCCTTCTTCCTCCTCTACTTTTTCTTCCTCATCACCCTCCTCTTCCTCTTCACTTCTTCCTCTTCCTCCTCTTCCTCCACTTTCTCCTTCTCMTTGTCCAGGCTGGCCTCAAATTTTTGGACTTAAGRGATCCTCCTGCYTCATCCTCCTCAGTAGCTGAAACTACAGGCATGGCCACCACATCTGACTCGGCTTCTTTGTCTTCCTCTTTCTTTGTAGATGACTCAACAAACTCTTCTAATCCCTCATTTGTTAATGCTAAACAGTGGTTGACAGCAGGTATCTGAGGCCATGGGTAATTGAAACTGAGGAAAATGAAACTTCAGATAAGGGGACTAYTGTACTTCACTTCTGCTTAAAGTTCATTCTGTATAGATTTCCTTTAGTGAAAGTTTGCTGGAGGCGTATTGTTAGTTTTTTTTTTTCCAGAAAATGCCTTTATTTCATCTTCATTCTTTGTATTTTACTTTTTTGTATATYGAACTAGATTCACAGGTACAGATGGTCCCTAACAGTTCAACTTATGATTTTTAAAATTTATAATGCTGTGAAAGTGATATGAATTCAGTGAACATTTAGGAGAGTAAAGGACCAATACTCTACAGTGTACTGTGGAGTAAACTATAATGTTGAGAAGGTTGGGAAAAGTAAATGTCATTTTTGTCTTACAATGATTTCAACTTTTATGATTTTATTGAGATAAAACTTTGTTGTAAGTTGAGGAGCATTTTCTTTGAGCTGATTGAAGGATTGTTATACTGTATTCTGACTTCCATGATTGTTCTTAAGAAATTAGCAGTTTTTAATGAAATTTTTAATTGCCTAGATGATGCAGAGATATTTCTCTTTGGTATTCTACACTTTTACTATGATGTGCGTACATGTGAATTTCTTTTTGTTTATTCTGCTTGGTATTTTCTGGGCTTCTTGAGTTTATGAATTGATGTATTTTATTTGGTTCACATCCATTACCTCCTGAAATATTTATTCTGCCCTGTTACCTGTTATTTTTCTTCAGTTAAACATATGCTTGATGTTCTTACTCTGTCTTCCATTTACTTTCTTTCTTTTGTGTTACATTACATATCCAGTAGTTGGCTAATTTGTAGTTATTTATTTTGTAGTGACTTATTCAATTATTTTCTGTTGAGCAGTGGCTAATCTTTAAATCAATCTTTTGATTAGGAGAAATTTTAGATGAAGTATAATCACTGAAAAGTAACACAATGAAAAGTGTTCCCATCATAATGGTATAGCTTGATGAATTTTATAATATATCTGTATAATTAGGATTCATAAAAGAAACAGATCTCCAAGAACCTTCCCTTGGTATGTTCCCTTTCAGCCTTTATTTGTCAAGAGTAACCTGAATTTCTGTGACATAGATTAATATTACTTGTTTTATACTTGTCTAAGGGGAATCATAAAGCAAGTGCTTTTTTGTATCTGACTTTTTTTTATTCAGTATTGTTTTCACTCATCTGAACTGTTCCATGTTCATTCTCATTTCTCTGTAGTATTTTATTGTTACTCTTGCAATCCATTCATTCTGCTATTGATGAGTAGTTAGGGAGTTTTCAATTTTGACCTTTATGAGTAGTGCTTCTGTAAACATTATAGCATCCTTTTGTTAGACATGTGGATGCGTGTCTGTTGCTCCCTTGGGGGAAAAAAATGTTTTGTTTTGTTTTTTTGAGCCGAGGTCTTGCTTTGTTACCCAGGYTAATCTTGAACTCATGAACTCAAGTGATCCTCCAGCTTGCGCTTTCTGAGTGTTGGAATTGTAGGCATGTGCCATTATGCCTAGCTTGTTTGTAAAAAATTTAACGGTGGTGTGTACATGTGWGTATTTCTTTTTGTACTTACTTATAGAAGTTATACTTTGTTCTTCCTTGAATCTGCTTGTCACTTTCTTATGATTTTCCCTGGAGATCTTTCCAAAATTACCTTTAAATAAACTCCTTAAAGCATAGAATTTATATCTGATAATATCTTAAATTTTGGTTTGTTTCAGGTGTTAATTATATTTTTCTAGTTCTTGCTCATCATGCTTTGTTTCCATATGTGCCATTCATTGCACTTGAAAGAAGTATTTTTAAAAATAATTTCAGAGGCTGGGAGCAGTGGTTCATGCTTTTAATCCCAGCAGCTCGAAGGCTGAGACAGGAGGATCTCTGGTTCAAAGCCAGCCTCAGCAATGGCGAGGCACTAAGCAAGTCAGTGAGACTCTGTCTCTAAATAAAATACAAAACAGGGCTGGGGATGTGGCTCAATTGTTGAGTGCCACTGAGTTCAATCCCCAGTACCAAAAAAAGAAAGAAAGAATTTGAGACCTAGGATGAAGGTGCCTTTCTGGAGAGAGGATTTGCATTCGCTTATGTCGGGAGCCCAGGGACTACTTAAAATTTACAGCTTGAGACTTTTTTGGCATATTCATTTGATATGAATTCTTAATGCCAGTTCATGTGAAGACTGATTATTTCTAGCTCATCCTTCTGTATGACCCTGAGTATGTAGCCTTTTGGGATCTAAGCTCAATGTGAAGATCTCTTATTAGACTTACCACTTTGGATGATCACTGGGCTTTTAATTTTGTCCCATTTTTATTGTGAAGTTATTGGAACTAAAGTTTATATTTGTCTGGCATGTCAAATAACTTTAGAATAAAAATACCTGCAGTTCCTGTTTTGTTTTTAGTTTTGGTCTTGTAATCTACTATCTTGTACATGTTCATTGTTGTTAAGTTTTGGTTTATAATACAGCATTATTTAGTATTTGGTCATAGGGTTGGTCCAAATTAGCCTACTGTTACTGAAGATAGCAAGTTCTTGATTTATATTTCAGAAGGATATCTGTAGTTGTGTGGAGAATACACTTTAGAGCAAGTTGGAAGGTGGCGGAGRGGAAGAAACAGGAGAGCAATTAGGAATTTGTTAATATAGTTCAGGTTAAAAATGAAAATGGTTTAGATCAGGGCATATTTTAGAAGGAAGAGGCAATAGGATTTGGCAATGGTTCTGCGTGGAATGAGATAGAAATAAAAGTCAAGGGGTTTTTGCATGATCAGCTGGAAAAGTAGATACACTATATCTTGGGATGGAGAAGAGTGAGAGGAACAAGTTTGAGGAAATAAATGAATTCATTTTGGGGAATGTTATGTTTGAGATGCCTGTTAAATATCCTGTGGAGATGTTGAGTAGGTAGTTGGTGTGATGTTTGGAATTCAGGATTGGACTGGAAATATGTATTTGAGAATCATCAATATATAGATGACTTAAAGCCATGAGAGTAAATGAGATCACCTGGGAGGTGAATAAAAATAGAGAAAAGAGGAARTTTAAAGATTGAGGCTTGGGAATTCTAATGCCCAGAGTTTGAAAAGATGAAGATTCATAAAGGAGGCTGAGAAGCAGTGGTCACTGAAGTGGGATACCCAAGAGAGTAGTGCCCCAGAAACCAAAAGCAGAAAGTGTATTAAGGAGAGAAAGAGCAGCTTTGTTGTATGTTGCTGAAAGTTTAAGTATATTGTTATAAACTGAAAATTGATTGTTATATTTGGAAAACAGTTTTTGGTTTCTTTAACGAGAGCTGTTTCTAAAGAGGTAGAGATGAAAGTCAGATTGAAGGTGGGCTCGAGAGAGAAGAGAGTTCGGGAAGAAGTGGAAATGCAAATGTGGACCAACCAGAGGAGTTTAGCTTCAAAGTGGAGCAAAGAAATAGAAGAAWATACTGGAATGGAGCTCATGGAGAAGTTTTTGTTTTGTTTTGTTTTATAGATGGGCTTTATCATAGCAAATTTGTATGCTGATAAGGATGTTCTGATAGGAAAGAAGAATTGATATAGGAGACAATGCCGGAACAGAGAGGGGAATAGAGTTCAGTAAATAAGCAGAGAGATTAACCTTACAGAGGAGGATGAATACTTCATTCATAGCAGTAGGATTGCTAAAGGTAGTGACGGAACAATGTTTCTGTTTTCTCAAAGAAACAAGATCACTTGATGAGAGTGATGAGACAGGAAGCATGAAGGTGGCTTAAAAAGTGGAGAACATTGAATGTTTAGTTTCTTCCTAAATAAAACATCTTCTCACTCAGGAGTTGTAGTAATCTAGTTGTATTAAACATTTGAAAACTTCCTTATAAGTACTTTGAATTATTTAAAAATAATTTCTTTAAGGTGGGACAAATATTGGTTTTCTAAAAGATTCTTAAGTAGAAATGCCATCCCCTAAGTGTGTGTAAATCAGTTTTACAAGTTATAAAGATGTATACTTTAGAAAGAATATTTGGCAAACAGAAAAAAAGTGCCCCACTAAATTCCTACCATGAAAGCCTAGGGGGTTATATTTTTCCTTTTTAATGTCAAGATCCTTATTTCTTTATAAGTATAGTTACATTCATGCTTTAAATGCAAATTGTCATTCAGTGATTATCAACTATCCTGTAAATATTTTTCCACTTTATTATTATTTTGGTGCTGGGGACTGAATCTATGGATCCTTTACCACCGAGCTACATCCCCAGCCATTTTAAGTTTTTATTTTGAGATAGGTTCTCTCTGTGTTGCCCAAGCTGGCCTCAAACTTGGGATCCTCCTGCTTCAGCCTCCTGAGTTACTGGGATTAAGGTGTGCATCACTATGCCCAACTCTGTTACATAGTATTTGTGACCATCAAATAGTTGGGTCATTATTTGCTGAGCAATATACTATTGTTAGATATTTAGGTTAACAGTTTTAGTTGTTTCATGTAATTATTTTGAACAGATTTTTCCTAAGAGCTTCATTTTATACCTTCCTTTCATTACYTGATCAGTGGTGTCATGTTTTTGAGCTGTAGAATTTAGAGAATAATTCTGGTTTGACTTTTCATTGTGAGTTCACAGTCATACTATGTTAAAATAGATTCTCTTTTCTGATTTTACTAATTACATGTTAGATTTTGAAATTTTCACAAAGAAACAATGTGTGCCTTGGCTGTTTTGTTATAAATTTGAGTATAATTTATGTCAAATTTTAGAGTGTATATTCAAAGTAAGAAACTGCATRTTTTAATAGGTTGATCCGAGGATTAGTTTTGGATCATGGTGCCCGTCATCCAGATATGAAGAAGCAAGTAAGAGATGCATTTATTCTTACTTGCAATGTGTCACTAGAATATGAAAAAACGTAAGTGATAATTTCTCTTTATAAGTTTTTAAACTGTTTTTTCTAAAAGTGTTTTAAAATCTCTTCCCTCCTAGATTTCTTCTGTTTCCTTCTTTCCCTCTGTCTTTATCTTGTTTTTATTAATCTTTTAGAGAGGTGAACTCTGGTTTCTTTTACAAGACTGCAGAAGAGAAAGAGAAATTGGTAAAAGCTGAAAGGAAATTTATTGAAGATAGAGTACAAAAAATAATAGACCTGAAAGAGAAAGTCTGTTCTGAGACCAATAAAGGATTTGTTGTCATTAATCAAAAGGTGAGAAAAAAACATTTAGATTTTAATTATTTGTAAGTTTTTTTCAGTATTTCTCAAAGTGTGCTTTATGGACCCTGAGGGTTCCAAGGACCCTTACAGGGACTCTGATGTTAAAACTATTTTCATATTAATAATCCTTTCACATTGTGCTGACATTTACAATGATGGTGCAAAAGCAATGGTAGATAAAACTGCCAGCACCTTAGTACAAATGAAGGCAGCAGCCCCAACCATCCTGGCAGTCCTCATCGTCTTTATGCCACACCACCACACACTTTCAGAAAAAAGAAAGACACTTTCATTTATGAATGTTTTGATCAAACGGTAACACTAGTAAGTTTTATTAAATTTTGATCCTTAATGCATTCTTTTATAAATCTTGTGTGATAAAATATGAAATACACAAATAGAACTTCTACTAAAATACCAAAATGGGATGGCTGTCTTGAAGTAAACCCTTGAATGATTGATCTGTGAGCTAAACTAGTTACTTTTATTCATTTTTACTTGAAAGAATGACTGATAGACAAACTATATATTATTTAGATTTGGGTATTTGGAAGATTTTTCTGAGAAATGAATGAAGCAATTTTATCATTTCAAGGAAAATACCTGACAGTGTTTGTTGCCAGTGGTAACATATGAGTCTAATGTAGTTAATCAATATATTTTTTTTAATATTTATTTTATAGTTGGAAACAATACCTTTATTTCTTTTTTTTAATTTTTTTTATTGTTGGTTGTTCAAAACATTACATAGTTCTTGATATATCATATTTCACACTTTGATTCAAGTGGGTTATGAACTCCCATTTTTACCCCATATACAGATTGCAGATTCACATCAGTTACACTTCCATTGAT